GGCCTCCTAAGGGGTGCCTCTTCCTCCTCCTCCTCACGCTGCACCAGCGGTGATGCTGGAGGAGGCCAGCGATACACGAGGCAGATGTGGCGGCACCGGAGCTGGGTTGCTGAGTGGCGCCGGCGCCGAATTGCTGAACAACTCTGGCCTGGGGAAGAGGCTTCGCTGTGTGCCTGGCTTCCCCGGCCTGGTGCCCCCATGATGGCCTCATGCTCTAGGCGAAAGTCTAGTGAGCGAGCCTGGCCACCATTCTGTGGCAGCTTTTATGCTGGGATCCACTGCAGGGCAAGCAATGTTCACATCCCAGAGAAGAACACCAGTTGCTTGAGAGAAACAGGAAGGACAAGCTACCCTTTCATTCCCTGTTAGTGGGCTTCTTGGAGGCATTTGGCCAGCCACTGGGAGAAACAGGACGAGGTGGACCTTTTGCTCTGATCCAGCAGGGATTTTTATGCTCGTAGTCTATCCATGTGATTGTCAGCTAGGGTGGGTTGCCAGCCTCTAGCTGGAGCCTGGAGTTCTCCTGGAATCATAATTCTAGGCTACAGAGATCAGTTCCCTTGGAGAAAACAGCTGTTTTGGAGGGTAGACTCTTCTGACCCTCTGAGGTTCCTGCCTTCCCCAGGCAGGTTTGCAGTGTGAACTCTATGGACTCACATCCTTTCTGGGTTCCCTCCCCTAACTCTGCCTTCCCAGGCCCTACCCCAAAATCTCCAGGAATTTCCCAACCCAGGGACCCGGGGCTTTAAATTAGGGAGCTAGTATAATGAGCTTCCACTGAGTTTTCACTTCACTGGTAAGTGTAGCGGGAGAAGCACCACACATACTGAAAAGTAAAGGTAAAGCCAGTCAAATCCGACTCTAGGGATGCGGTGCTCATCTCCGTTTCCAAGCCGAAGAGCCAGCGCTGTCCAAAGACGTTTCCATGGTCTTGTGGCTGGCGGGACTAAACACTGAGGGGCACGGAATGCTGTTACCTTCCCACCGAAGTGGTACCTATTTATCTACTTGCAATTTCTTGCTTTCGAACTGCTAGGTTGGCAGGAGCTGGAACCAGAGACAGGACCTCACTCCATCATGCGGCACTTGGGTCTCAAACTGCTGAACTACCGATCTTCTGGTCTGCAGTTTAGCATCTAAACCACTAGGAGGCAAAACCAGGCTTCTTCATTCACAGTGCAAACAACAGTTTCTTGTACCTAAAATATAGAATTTATATAAATGTTGGAACTGTTTTGTTACCGACTGATAGCAAGGGTACTCCCCCCCCCCATCAATTGTACAGGAACTGGATATTTTGCTACTGTTACCATGTTGGGGGGCCAAGGAATATTAATCTTATGTGGAACAGTTGGTGTCTTAGGGCAATGTCTGGAAAGGTCCTAACAAATGAAGAGCTGTTCTCTTATGTGTGGATTTTCTTTATAGCCTTGAGTTTTCTCATCATCTGGCTGGTTGGGGATAAAGGAGAACCAGATAGCCAAACTGCAAACAGAACCAGACTTCTCTATGGGAAACACAAGGACCCAGCGGGAAAATGCTAATGCATGAATTAAGGTAAAAAAACTTTAATTTCAAGATGGGTAGCCATGTTAGTCCACCTGTAGCAGTAGAAAAGAGCAAGAGCCCAGTAGCACCTTAAAGACGAACAAAATTTGTGGCAGGGTAGGCCACAAATTTTGTTCATCTTTAAGGTGCTACTGAACTTTAATTTCAGTACAGAATCCTGATCATGGGGAACCTTGAGGCTAAGCCCCATGTTTCAAGAGAGAGGCAGCTCCCACCAAAGCAGTACCCCACACCTCCCCAGCAGCGTCCAATGAAAGATGATGTGATCTCACCACCTCACGTTTCTCCCAGTGCCCACAAACAGCTGCCAATGGACTGGGCTGGAATAAGTCTGGACAAGTGTGGACAATCACATCTGAGATGCCTGGAATCCATGAGAAGCTTAGCAGCATATTTGAGCCTGTATACTTATTGAGATCAGCATCCTATCTGAATGTATTATCTTTCATGACTTTTTGTAAAGCATTTTATGAGCTTTTGTACTATTCTAATATTTCCTGAGGAAGATCCAATTTTGAAACATTGTTATATAATCCGGAGACAACGTTGATGATGTATTTTTACACTAGGATTTTCTTTTGATTTGAAGGAATTTGTTTATTGTGTTGTAGTGCTTTGACCATAATATACAGAAAGCATCTTCTTTGCAAGTCTTGTTGACTGCTTGATCTGTGGGTCAGGCTCTCTCAATTGTTTTCTTTACATTTGTTCTCTGGAATAAGTTTGAGCAGAACATCATTACACATTCTTTTTTCAGACATTCCTGGGGTCTAAAAGAGAGAGAGACTCCAAGCGGCAGCCATATGTCCTTGCCCATGTCTAGTTTTACCCAAAGAGAGTGGACTGATGCTATGCCATAAATTCCCCTCAGCTTTTTGTAGGGCGAATGTTATCTAGGCTTTGTGATTTTTCTGCAACTTTCATTGCAGATTTTTGTTCTTTCCTTTGATGGATCCATTGCCCACTTGGTGGCCTACTGTTTCAACAACAAAAAAACCTCTACTCGAAAAGGACATTTTCAGTGTAAAAACAAATCAGTGAACATTTAGCGGAGCCCTAGAATTGACAGGACTCTTCCACAGATGGATAGAAATGGCCAGGAGGAAGAGACATGCCATTCACTTTATCAGATATCCATCTTGGAGCCAAAACAAACTTGCTTCCCAAACATCTCAAAATGATCCTCTATGAATTTTATGCCATGCAATTTGAGGATTACATATCTGATGAATATTCACCAGCTGGTCATCCTTGAGCAAGTAGTCCTCCGATTGACAACAGCTGGGTGCAGTGGTTAAGAGTACAGACTCTAATCTGGGAGAACCGGGTTTGATCCCCCACTCCTCCACATGCAGCTGCTGGTTTGACCTTGGGTCAGTCATAAGTTCTTTCAGAGCGTTTCTCTCAAGGGCAGTTCTCGAGGGAGCTCTCTCAGCCCCACCTACCTCACAGGGTGCCTTGTTGCGGGGAGGGGAATGGAAAGGAGATTGTAAACCGCTCTGAGACTCCTTCGGGTAGTGAAGGGCAGGGTATAAATCCCAATCTCTTCTTTTTCTCTTCCTTTTCAGGAGGGCTAGTAAGAGATGGGGGGGCAGAGAGACCCACCCCACCCCACCCCATTCCATAGAGAATGGGAGTGATGGACAGGTGGGAGAGCGCAATGGGAAACCAGAACAGGTTCCAACATATTTGGCTGACATCTTACTTTAAATTTCAGTCTTCGATGTGTGACAGCATTGATCGTTCATATAAAATGGCACTTAGTACAGGCTGCTAATTGATCACCGACATACAATATTGAAAAGCTGACAGCTCATCCCTTATGAGATTTCATATCTGACACCTTCCAAGCCAATCATGGGATGTCAACAAGCCTGCAGCTTTTAAAATCTGAGATGAAATCTTCCATTCAAAATGGAAATTCAAATTTTGTATCCAAAGTTTTCCTAGATGAAACTTGAAAATCTGTCAGGATCCAAAAGTTAATGAATATTTATTTCAGCTTTAATCAGCTAATTACGGGTAATTATGATAGTCAAAGCATGATGGAGAATTGGGGGTGGGGTCAGATTTCAGGAAGGGGAAAACAAACCTCATTCTCCACATTCACTACGAGGCCCAACAATGAGATCAGAGCTATTATATTCAGATTCTCTGATAAGGTGACATTCAAATTGCTTGCAAGAGGAGGGACTTTACATGGTGTCATCAGACACGCTCCAGCACAAACCTTCCTTGGGCTACACAGGAGAAGGGGACAGTCAAACTTCTGGACCGTAGGGAAACATTTTTTTAAACCATCTTTCACAAGGCCAGCCTAAAAGCTCTTGAATGGTAGGGCAGGACACTTCCTGGAGAATGCTTGCACAAGCATCCTTGAAAGAATATCCCGTGTCAAAACTAAGGGGAATTTTTGGAAGCAATCTGTACTCACTTTGTGGATTGGTAATTCTTTTAATGGCATGTGGAGCTATGCATGACGATGGATATAATACCCAAAGCACAAACAGCAAGCAAAAAACAACTCACAGCGTAGTGCTGGGAGTCCCCACTCATGTGAAAGCCTTTCGGATTCGCTATAGCACAGGCTAGTCCAATCTTGTCAGTTCTCAGAAGCTAAGCAGGATCAGCCCTGGTTAGAATTTGGATGGGAGATCACCAAAGAATACCGGGTCATGATGCAGAGGCAGGAAATGGCAAACCACCTCTGAATGTCTCTTGCCTTGAAAACCCTACAGGGTTGCTGTAAGTTCACTGCAACTTGAGGACCCCCCCCCCCCAAAAAAAAGAGTTAGACCCACACGGAAGCCGGCTTCAGGGCACATATCCAGAACCAGATCAGAAAGCCCATACACTTCTTGAACTTGCTCCAACAGCAGCCGGAGGCAGGGATGCATGCAACACCCCTTTTCAAGAAATTGGAATCCCACCAGTCAGGTCTTTGGGAGGGGGAGCAAAATATTAGCATCAGTCTTCCCTTCCCCCTTCTTTGCCCCAGTACTGATCAGTTGAATTCCAGTTTTCTTTCAAGGATTATAGAAATGCTTGCCTCGCTGTCACACACATGTACTCTTGGGTTAGAGCAACAGACCCACAGGTTGTGTGGGTGTAAAGTACCGCCAAGTTACAGCCAACCCTGTAGGGTTTTCAAGGCAAGAGACATTCACAGGTGGTTTGCCATTGCCTGCCTCTGCACGGCAACCCTGGGCTTCCTTGGTGGTCTCCCATCCAAATACTAACCAGGGCCGACCCTGCTTAGCTTCTGAGCCATCCAGCTCAAAACAACCCACATGTTGGGTAGTGGTAATTCAGAGTATGAATAGTAGCAACCAAACTCCAGCTAGGTGCATTGCTTATTTTACCTAACCACTGGACTTCTCTCTTCTCACAGCCCTTCGACACAAAGAGTGACTATGTTGCTTGCTTGCGACATGGACAACCACGGTGCTGCTTTTCTCACCCCGACACCAGGGCGGCTGCTGCAGCAGAATGACCAGACAGCCGAGATCTCTGGCCCTCCGGCGCACCACGAGGTGCATGAGCTTGAGAAAAACGCTACAGCCTTGCAGTACGAATTGATGCCGGGGGAAATCATAGCAGCCAGTCTGCTTCTTGGAGTTTTGTGGCTACTTTCCATCTTTGGGAACTCCCTCGTCTGCCTGGTGATCCACAGGAGCCGAAGGACCCAATCGACCACCAACTACTTTGTGGTCTCCATGGCCTGTGCGGACTTACTCCTCAGTGTGGGGAGCACCCCACTGGTGCTCCTGCAGTTAGCCTCTGGCAGATGGACCCTTGGGAGCCTGATGTGCAAGCTAGTTAGGTATCTCCAGTACCTCACTCCCAGCGTCCAGATTTACGTGCTGCTCTCCATCTGCGTGGATCGATTCTACACCATCGTCTACCCTCTCAGCTTCAAGGTGTCTCGGGAAAAAGCCAAGAAGATGATTGCAGTCTCTTGGCTCTTCGATGCCGCACTGGTGTCTCCGGTGTTCTTCTTTTATGGATCAGGACGGGACAACCACTGCAACTTCTTCCCCCCACATTCCTGGGACGGAGCCATTTACAGCATCGTCCACTTGTTAGTGGCTTTCCTGATCCCATCTGTGCTCATCATTCTCTTCTACCAAAAAGTCATCAAGTACATTTGGAGGATAGGCACCGATGGCCGGACAGTCCGGAGGACCATGAACATCGTTCCAAGGACAAAAGTGAAAACCATTAAGATGTTCCTCATGTTAAACTTGCTCTTCCTGCTCTCGTGGCTCCCCTTTTACGTGGTTCAGCTTTGGCACCCCCACGAGGCAGACTACAGAAAGAGCTCTTTGGCTTTCATGTCAGTCACTTGGATCTCCTTTAGCTCCTCCGCCTCCAAACCTACCTTGTACTCAGTGTATAATGCAAACTTCAGGAGGGGCATGAAGGAGACCTTCTGCATGTCCTCCATGAAATGCTACCGCAGCAACGCCTACACCATCACCACCAGCTCCAGGATAGCCAAAAGAAATTACGTGGGTATCTCAGAAATTCCCGCCCCGGCCAAAACAGTTTCTAAAGACTCGGTATACGATTCCTTTGACAGAGAAGCAAAAGAGAAGAAGCTTGCCTGGCCCATTAATTCAAACCCACCCAACACATTTGTCTAATTCGTTGGGAGTCTTTTCAATCATTGCCGTGCAACACAAGACCACCTGTTTTTGAACAGATCGTATTTACATATGGGAAAGGCGCTGTGTACAATTTACTGAGCGCAAGAAACGGTTTTATTTTATTAAATACCTTGGTTTTTATTGTACACTGGCTTTTAACAAAAACACCAGACAAAATGATGCTGTTCAGAGCCACATTTCAAAGATTCGTGCCCTCTGCATTTAGGTTTCATTTGGAAAAACTCTTTTACTACTGAAAATCCAGTTACAGTGTGTAAAAGAGAATGATATCTTTGCAAGGCTGGAAAACAGGCGTGTTCCAACGAGCCCTTTTGGGCCAGGGACGGTCTTGCTGTCTGTCCCTGCTAAGACAAACTTCTGCCATCTTTAACTTGGGCAGCCTGTATACATGGGATATTGGAGCCCTTTGCATTTCAGGCCCCTCCCCTGAAGCTCTTGAAACTAAAATTCTGAGGAGGGAGTGGCTCCAACACACAAGGATGTCCACAAACATCCCAGAATCCAAAATGGCCCTCCTCGACGCATTTCCCAGCCCTCTGAGTTGACACTTGATGCCGTTGGACCAATTTGGGTGGCATCTATTTTACAGCTCTAAGCAGATCATTTGTAAGATTGGGAACCTATTATGGCCTTTTTAGGAACAGCTAAAAAAACCCATGCCAACGAGTCCCTGTGTCTGCCGCCTCCCGGGTGTGCATCAGCCTGGTCCAAATCAGCTCCCCGGCTGTTTTGTTGCCTTTCCCTGCATCCAAATCACAGGCCCACTTGAACTTTCCAAACTATTTAGTGCCACCATTTTCCAGCAGCTTGTTAAGTATCTAGCTTGGCATCCACAGCTAGATGCCCATCATAATGAGCAGACAAGGAGAGTTCAGCTCTCAGGGAGAGGCTGAGGCATATACCATGGGAGACTGGTTTTGTCCTCAAGTGTACATAACTGTCTTGCCTGGGAGCACATAGAAGCCACACCCGGTGTGTGTGTGTGTGGGGGGGGGTATAGGCAAAGCCTGCCTAGCAACTCACCATGCTCAGGTATCTCTATAGGTCCATCTCTGGGAGAAGCAGGTCTACAAGGAGATTGTGAGGGACTTGTGTGGGTAGTGGGAAGGGTGAAAATCTTACCAGTAGCCCCAGACAACCACAGTGTGTTTTATGTAAATAGAGCCTTAATAAAAAAAAGCATGTGCCACCTCAGGGAGGTGGGCGGGGGGAGAGAAAATGTAACGACCATCCCAGTGATGATGAGGCCTGTAGAAGTATATCTGAGCTTCAGCATTGCAGAGGGCAAATATCACATGAAGAAGAGTTGGTTTTTATACCCTGGCTTTTCTCTACCTGAAGGAGTCTCAGAGTGGCTTACAATTGCCTTCCTTTCCTCTCACAACAGGCACCTTCTGAAGCCAGGTGGGGCTGAGAGAGTTCTGAGAGAACCGTGACTGGCCCAAGGTCACCCAGCTGGCTTTACGTGGAGTGGGGAATCAAACCTGGCTCTCCAACCAGAACCAAATGTGCTTCCTGCAAACACTTCCCTGCACATAGAAAAGCAGCATATCGGGGGGCAGGGGAGTCTCCTGACCTAGCCCTCTACCTAATGTTCTAGGTGTTCCCCCCCCCTCCAATCAGTGAACTTATTCAGTTTACTATCCGTGGCACGCATGAGCCATCTGATCCTAGCAATGCCCTTCCCTCCAGAATTCTGGGCCTGCTTTATTAAGGGAACAGAACCCCACTTTTCTGTTCTCCTGAGCAGGCTTCCTGTGTGCTTTGAAGAGTTCCCATCAATCAGCTAGTGGCTCCCTCCACTGAAACTAAGGAAATCCATTCTGGGAACGGAGGCTCCATGTTCCCAGCACAGATGGCAGGAGGAGGAGGCGGCAACATCAAAAACGATCACAGCTGAACACACAAACCTGCCTACATTCCCTTCCCACCGCACTGCAGTCACCTACACCAGGAAAGTAGTAGGTGGGCTTCTAAAGGCCACAGGCTGCATTGGACACACCTAGAGGGGTTTCTAAGCCCCCACCACTAATGTCAGGGGGCCCACGAGTATGAGGGGCTACGGCTAGAAAGAAATACTGTTTTTCCGTGTGGGCAGACAGGAGCCGCTTGAATCTCAGCTGCCATCTGCCACCTCAGAAGAGAGAGAGATTAGGACAGAGGCCTCCAGAGAGATCTCTCCAAATGCCTCAGAACATGTTGTTCTTACAAGTGAGATTTGTCACAATATCCAGTCAACAAGGAGTGGCTTCTCTAAGTAAAAGAGGCCAAGAATTAGATGGGGGGGGGAGTAGTAACAATTCTTTGGGGTGGGGGGGTTATGGAAGTCATGGCGACCTCTGGTGACTGACCCCCTACTGGGGGCCTGGAGGATATTCAGAGGCGGCCGAATAAAGCCCGCCTCGCACCTCTGGTATTCCAAGGAGGTCTCCCATCCAAGTACTTGCCAGAGAGTCGACCCTGCTTAGCTTCCGAGGTCTGAGATCGGGCTTGCCTGGGCTATCCAGGTCAGGGCTCAATTCTTGAATTACACATTTCTTTACAATTCTGTGGGAAAGCTGTAAACTGGAATTGCCTGATACTGAATCAGACCATTGGTCCACTGAGGTCAGTATCTCCCCAGGGTCCCTTCTGTCAGGTGGAGGTCTTCCACATAATCTACAACCTGGGCCCCTTTCCTAACGAGCTGCTGGGGACTCAACCTGGGACCTTCTGCATGCCAAGCAGAGGCTCTTCCAATGAGCCACAGGCCCTCCCCACCTCTGCTGAGAGGTCTCCACAGTTCTGCACAGTCCAAATACGACTACCCCCTGAAGTGAGTTTGGTCTACTGTTAGGAGTGTGCTTAGTCCTCAGTGACTTCCATTAAATTCTATGGAGCCAAGAAAACTTTTTTTGTGGGGGAGGAGACAAAATGTGCCCCCTTCCCTCCCCAAAACGTGAGGCATGGGTGTTTTGGTGGCAAAACTACCTCTGTCCTCTGGCAAAACATGCAGCAGCAGCAACAACAATAACAACCATATGGCACTGTGTGTAGAATAACCAGGAGATCCTAAGATTGTCTGGCAGCTAGAAGCTCTAGCTCTTTTCGCATTATGCACCCCTAGCTAGACTTGTTTTTAAGGCAAGAGATGTTTCAGAGGTGATTTGTCATTGTCTGCCTCTGTGTTGCAGCCCTGGTATTCCTTGGAGGTCACCCTTCCAAATACTACAGTGCAGCGAACATATTTATCCTATGGTGATAAATGGCTGACAATCAATTGTGCAAGAAAAAAGCCAAGCGCTGCACTCCAGAGCACCATTTTGTGAGGATAAAAGATCTCCCCCCCCCAGCTGAATGGCCCACTGTCAAAGGGGCACTCCATGTCCTAAGCCCATAAAGGCACTGCAGCCACCCAGACGTCGATGCTCCCTTCTCCCCAACACCCTTTGATAAAAGGCCCCCACACAAAGTTTGAAGTGTCATCTGCTTTAATAAAAAGTAACAGAGAAGGACAGATTTGGGTCTTGCAGTGTAAGAAGTTTCCAGGAAGCGTGAGAAGCTCCAGAAGCTCCCTTCCCTTCCTGAGGCACAAGGACAGCTCCAGTCAGTCTGGAGGATGTGAAGCTTCGGAACCCCCGGAGGGAGGTCACCAGCCCTACACAGCTGCTTCTCCCCCTCCACCCACCCTGCTCCACCCCCACCCCCTCTTCCCAACACCTCCCATGCGTCCCGACATAGAGAGGTCTGGACCAGTGGCCTGGGCAGATCCCTCCCACTCCCCAGGTAGGCGACCAACACCGTGCGTCTCCTGAAGCCGCTCCTTGATTGCATGCAGCAAGGAAGAAAGGTTGTGTTAGCATGGGACTCCAGGAGTGCCCTAACAAGCAGGCTGGAGAGAGAGACACAATGGCACAGGTGTGATAAAACCTAAGGCAAAAGGAAATTTTAAAAAATGGGGAAAAACAACCCAGCAATTTGCTTCCCGAGTCTTGTTCAAGGGGCTGTCTCACAAGGAGATTAATTTAGAAATCTGCTAAGGAACGGAGCGCCCAGATCAACCAACCGCTGACCTGCTGCACAAGTACTCATGGCCTTGTGAGAAGGAAGGAAGTGTAGGGGGGGGGGGGGGAGGAATCAAGCCACCGCTGTGGACGTATCCCCCACTCTGCAGCCATCTGCCAGGGAATCGGTGAGCAGCATCGATCCCTGCTTGGTCGGCCAATACGTGGGCAGTGACACCATCCCATGGAAGGAAGGAAGGAAGGAAGGATTGCCCCTATTGGGGGGGGGGGGATTTCTCAAGCACCAGGGCTGGAGGATGGAGCTGGCTATTTGGGTGGTGTTGACTGCTTTCCCACCCCTGGAGGAGCTACCTTCAATACTGCTGCATCATCCCCCCCACACACACACACTGTCACCTTTAAATCAGGGTTGCCATTCTAAGAGGCAGGATTACAGTTACGGGGGGCAGAGTCCACTTTTATTCAGGTTACTTCTAACCTCCGACCGTGTCTGTTAATGTCTCCAGGGGAAGCCAGGGTGGGGTGGGGTTAGGTCATGCTTATATGCCTTACCTCCCCATCACTATCCTGGGGGGGGGGCGGGGGGGGGGACAAGGATCATACAAAATAGTAAGACCACCATGAAATAAACTATGCAAATGTTTGCATAAATACACATGTCCCAGACATCGGGTACCCTGGGGCACACGCCCACTGAATTCTTCTAGTGCACGGGACACGCGGCTGTGTCTTAAGCCCAAATGACATTAGTTCTAAAACTGTCTCTATCCTACCCCCTTGCAGGCTGAAACAGAGCTCCTAGCCACTCATCCTGCACTGTAACACTCAGATCGCTCCCCATTGAAAGGGGAAACTTGGGATTGTGCTCAGAGCTGCTGAATACTCCTCTGGGCAAACACGTAAACCAACGTGTTTAAGCGCACATACACAGAAAGCCTCTAGATGGGGGCCTTATGCCTCTTTATTCAAAAGCAAGATACCTTGGGATTAACCGGCACTACTTGAAAGTAATGCGTTTTAAACTCCTGAACTCAAGGCTATTTCACTTCATTTTCTACCTGGCAAGATACAGGCAGTCACGCAGTCAGAGAGAAAAGGAGATTTAGCTGCTGTCCAGCCAGGCTCTGGTTCAAAGCCTCTTGCTCAATGCAAGAAAGGAGTAGAGGCAGAGAAACTTTTGATAACAGGAGAAAGCTGGGATTTTGGTGCCCCCCCCTTCCCCCCAGCTGTCAGTTGATGAAAGCGTGTGTGGAATTACAAGCTAAGAAAGAAGCTGGTGGGCCAGCAAGACTGTCGATGCTTCAGAGAAGGTTGCAAAACCCTTCGCTTCCATGGAAGTCAGTAAGATCATGGACCTTACAACCCTGGAAGGCAGGTTGGTATTAACCCCTACTGGAGACAGTCGCATTTGAGAAGGGGCTTGCCCTAAAGCTTTGCCTTGGGCTAATTGGCAAGATCCCCAGTTCACACTGGAGCCACAAGAGCTCAGAAATGACGACAGGGAAAATGAAGGGCATTTTCATCACGTGCTCACATCCTAGCTTAACATCACGCAGCACAAATAAATAATCCCATGCAGAAGGCACCCCTTTCCCCCCCCCCCCACCCCCCGTGATCAGGATCTCTGATTTTAGTGCACAATTTCTTCTTAAATAATTATGACCAAAGTACAACACAGGCTAAAAAAAACCTCTAAAACAGCAACGGCAGCCTAGGTCAGAATGGTTTCTTCCTCCCGCCCCCAAAGTCAGAACTCCGACTTTCCCGTCGTCTGCAATGCAGAAAAAAGATGGGTTAAAATGAGTTGTGGATTTACTCGGGTGGGCTTGTGGTCAGTTGCATTTGGCCAGTCCACTGTGGTCGTTGAGGGGCATTGCTACGACAAGAGAAGGATGACTTGCAAGCCGTCACTTCTCGGTTACTTCAGCTTCTTAAAATATAGATGTGGTCTTGTCTCACAGCAGCCTGAGCTTCACCCTGAAAGAGAAGGCAAACCTGACTGCAACAAGTCCTATATACCTTATTCATAACTCCAGCCTGTCAATCAAAGCACCTGTTCTGGACAATACTGACAAGGCTTCCATTTATTTTAAAGTTATATGCCACCTCTTTGCTTCAAGAGCCATTCAAGGTGGTCTGCAAATTTTTTTTTGTTTTAAAGGAATCCAGATTATGGATCGGCCTTTCCCTTCACTCTCACCACATGCCTGGCACCCATTAGCAAAACCTCGATCCCTTCTTCCGCCCATTTTTTTAAATGGCAAGGGTTTGTCCTTTTACACTTCAATCCTGGACAGGTCCTAGTGGTTCAGTGGTTAAGAGCAGCGGACTCTAACCTGGAGAGCTGGGTTTGCTTCCCTACTCCTCCTCCACGTGAAGCCACTTGGGTGACCTTGGGCCAGTCACAGTTCTCTCAGAACTCTCTCAGCCCCACCTACCTCACAGGGTGACCGTTGCAGAGAGATAGGAAGAGAAGGCGATTGTAAGCCACTACAACCCTAGAGCTAATGTGGTGTAGTGGTTAAATGCATGGACTCTAATCTGGAGAACCGGGTTTGATTCCCCACTCCTCCACAGGAAGCCATCTGGGTGACCTTGGGCCAGTCACAGAACTCTCTCAGCCCCACCTGCCTCGGAGGGTGTCTGTTGTGGGGAGAGGAAGGGAAGGTGATTGTCAGCTGCTCTGAGACTCCTTTGGGTAGTGAAAGGCAGGGTATAAAAACCAACTATTATTATTATTATTCCCACTGGAAACTGTGGCTCCCTGACATCCTTAGACACCCGCCCAGCCTGGCATCCCTAAGGCAAGATGAACAAGCCGCGCAGTCAACACTCACATGGATTGTGGCTGTTGGTGTCTGCCTTGACAGCTTTGGGGAGCTTGGTGGAGTTCTGCTGGGCTTTGCTTTGCTCTTCCCCGCTGAGGAGCGCTTTGATTTCAGAGGGGATCTTCCCTTGGTCCATCGCCATGCACCACTGTTTGTACTAAAATACACACCAACAGAACAAACACTTGTAAGTTGACTGTGCCACAGAGGCAGAAGATGAATTCCAGCAGGATCAAAAGTTGCAGAAACTTTCCCACGGCTGTGATTGCTGCACATCCACCTCTCTACTCCAAAACATGCACAATTCCACATAAGTGCTGGGGTGGGTGGGGTGGGAGAGAAGAAGCAAGGATGGGGCTTGGGTTCATAGATCAGCTGCACTGGCTCCTTTCCTTTTACGAAAGGGGAAGCTTCTAACACTCAGTGGTCGAATCTGCATTTGCATTTTTAAATCAATTTCGTGCTGCTGTGACACCGTCTTTCTCTATGCTTTTTGAATGTTGTTTGGAGGGTCGAATCTGCATTTGTCTTTCCCACTGGTGTCCCAGCCTTCTGACTCCATCTTCAGAAAAGCTGTCTACATTTGGTGTCGCTTTCACACCTCAACAGTGCTAGCATACTTTTGCACGTCCACATATGTTTATCACCTTCTTGTGGCGGCTCCACTGTCATTGCACCTCCCCACTGCTTTAAAAGAATCTTCTCCAAACAACATTCGAACAAGCATAGAGAAAGAAGCAGCACGAAACTGATTTAAAAATGCAAATGCAGATTCGACCGAGAAAATTCTTTTAAAGCAGTGTGGAAGTGTAATGACAGTGGAGCCGCCATGAAAGGACGATAAACATATGCGGACGTGCAAAAGTATGCTAGCACTCTTGAGGTGTGAAAACGAAACCAAATGTAGACAGCTTTTTTGAAGATGAGTCAAAAGGCTGGGACACCAGTGGGAAAGACAAATGCAGATTCGACCACTATCGGTTGTCAGGGGAAGAACATAAGAGAAGCCAAAGAAGGAGAGCCCACCACCTCCGGAGGAAGCCTAACCGCTCTAACTGTCAGGAAGTTCTTCCTAATGTTTAGCCGAAAACTCTTTTCTGATTTAATTTCAAACCCGTCGGTTCTGATCCGACCTTCTGGGGCAACAGAAAACAACTCCGCACCATCCTCTAGATGACAGCCCTTCAAGCACTTGAAGATGGTGATCATATCACCTCTCAGTCATCTCCTCTCCAGGCGAAACATACCCTGAAGTTAACGCGTGGCAAAAGTATGCTGCTTAGCAGGAGGATACAGACGACCACTCTACCCTGCAGTCCACAAACACACTCCAGGGGCAATTTGCTTATCTGTGCAGACTCGCTCTCCCACGTGGGGAGAAAATGTTTTAAACACATCAGGGGCAGGGCAGGCTCAAGAATGTGGTTGGTGGCCCAGGTTCTTGGCGAAGACTTTTGAGCAGACAATAAAGGCTTGGGAATTAAAAAACAGGGTTAAGGTTTAAAGAGGGAGAGGGAGGGAGAGAAACGCAGTTACCATGTCCAACTCTTCTCGCAGTGCACAGATTGCCCTCTCTCTACTTGACACCAGCTCTTCCAGGTACTGGTACCGCAGCTTCTTCCGTGCCCGGCATTCTCGCGCGCTCTGCCGACTCCTCTCAAGCTTGGCTTTCAAATCTATTTTGGCTGGTTTATGGCCTCGCTTTCCCGGCTTCTTCACTTTGCCTCCAGCGACCTAGAAAGAAGGCCCAAAGGGTCACTTCAGCAACAGGTGGAAGGAAAAGACTGCTCAGGAATAGAGGTTGTGGAGTGTGAAAAGAAAAGAGCATTGTCAGCATCCTCACTGGACTCTGTGGCCTCCCAGACCTTTCTCCGCTTTCTATTATCAGATTCCAGCTACTGATCCTCAAGGTGGTCTAAGGCCGGGCCCTATTCTTTCAAATACCATCCTCAGCTACAAGAGTAGGATACAAATACTGATATACCCCATCAGCCTTCTATGTGAGGGTTACCACAATGAAGTACACAGAGCGCTTTAAACAGGTGTTTCATAAAACATTATATACTGTTAGGTCATCTGAAGTCTCAGTAACCAAACGCATTTAGGAGCTTTTGCAGCTAACATGGGACTGAGCAGGCTCTGGACAGCAGCGACGGACAGGAGGACTTGCCATGATGAGGTCCATGGGGCCGCGAAGAGTTGGACTCAACTGTGCAACTGAACAACAACAAGTTTGCCAGCGTCCTTTCCACCTTCCCCCATCCCATCCCCTTTCCTTTGCATCTGCCAGGAATCCAGCTGTGCCCAAACTTCTGCAGCTCAAAACTGCAGAGTGGGGCTAGAGATGGATTGCTGTGGCCACTGTTTTCTGTAGACCTAACCTGGTCCCATTATATTCAGTAGGACCTTACTTACAAGCTTTCAGCCTAAGAACATAAAAGAAGCCAATGCTGGATCAGGCCAATAGCCCATCCAGTCCAGCACTCTGTCACACAGTGGCCAAAAATACCAGGTGCCGTCAGGAGGTCCACCAGTGGGGCCAGGACACTAGAAGCCCTCCCACTGTTGCCCCCCCCAAACACCAAGAATACAGAGCATCACTTGCCCCTGACCTAGAGTTCCTACCTATACCTTGTAGCTAATAGCCACTGATGGACCTCTGCTCCATATGTTTATCCAATTCCCTCGTGAAGCTGTCCGTGCTTATAGCTGCCGCCACCTCCTGTGGCAGTGAATTCCATGTGTTAATCATTCTTTGGGTGAAGAAGTACTTCCTTTTATCCGTTCTAACCCAACTGCTCAGCAATTTCATTGAGTGCCCACGAGTTCTTGTATTGTGAGAAAGGGAGAAAAGTACTTATTTCTTTACCTGCTCTATCCCATGCATAATCTTGTAAATGTCAATCATGTCACCCCTCAGCCATTGTTTCTCCAAGCTAAAGAGCCCCAAGTGCTTTTAAGCTTTCTTCATAGGGAAGGTGTTCCAACCCTTTGATCATTCTAGTTGCCCTTTTCTGCACTTTTCCCAATGCTGTAATATCCTTTCTGAGGTGTGGTGACCAGAATTGCACACAGTATTCCAAATAAGGTCACACCAGGGGCATTACAATACTGGCTGATTTGTTTTCAATTCCCTTCCTAATAATCCCCAGAATAGCATTGGCCTTTTTTATTGCAGTCGCACACTGTCTCGACATTTTCAGTGAGTTATCTACTATGACTCCAAGATCTCTCTCTTGGTCAGTCTCTGCCAGTTCGGACCCCATCAACGTGTATTTATAGTTAGAATTTTTGGCCCCAATGTGCATCACTTTGCACTTTGCCACACTGAACCCCATTTACCATGTTGACGCCCACTCACCTGTCCTCAACAGATCCCTTTGGAGTGCCTCACAATCCTCCCTGGTTTTCACCACCCTGAACCATTTAGTGTCATCCTCCTAATCAGTTTTTAATCAAACTACTCTACTAAATGATGAAGTCAGTTTTCATTAGGGAGGGCATCATTATTTTCCTGCATATTTTTACCTTGTGATATCAGGGATTTTGTTGATATTTGGAATAATTTTATTATACAACACCTGTGGGGATAAGAATACTAGCAGTCTTCCTCTGACACATCATCAAAAGAAAGCATGCTAAATGAAAGTGAAATTCTTTTAACTTTTTTTTTTAGATGTACGGCCCAAGGCCTCCTAAAGGAACTTTAATAGAATAAGCACTTCTGGGAAACTTCATTTGAAGATCACCACACACTCACTGATGGTGACTACATCACTGCCGACCTATATTATTCAATGGTTAGAGTGCTAGACTAGGATCTGGGAAAGCCAGTTGTGAATTGCCACTCTGCTGGAGAAGCTCATTGGGTGATCCTGGACCAGTCATACTCTTTCAACCTGGCCTACTTTGCAGGGTTGTTGTGAGGATAAAGTAGAGGTTACAAAAATTATGTCAGCCATCTTGGGTCCCCATTGGGGAGAAAGGTGGGATATGAATATAAGTAAATAAATTCAGTCACGGGCTCAGTTCATCTTCAAACCTTTAACAGGTTACCAGCCTCATTAACATTTTTAAAGGAAATGGGGCTATCCTATAACAGAGTGATTCAGGGAGGTTCTTTTACAAAGCAAACAGGACCACAAACTATACCACCACATACACTATGCATTATCTGTTGGCTGCATTATCCTGTTGTCAGCCCATTACTTTCGACTGATGTAATACCATTCTTTGTACTGTGTGTTTGTTTATTTATTGTATCTGTATCCCACCCAATCCCACAATGAGCTCAGGGTGGCTCACAACAAAAATAAAAACAATAAATATATGATTAAAAACCAGTTAAGTAAAACACGATGGCAGCTAAGAAACATAACATCAGTCCAAAGCAGCTCAATACACTTCCCATGAAATGTTAGCAGGATGGTAGGCACCTGTAGGTCTACTAAGGGCAGGGGAGTCCAAAGATGGTAAAATCCACTGCCTCAACCAAAGGCCTGGTGGAACAACTCCACTTTGCAGGCCCTGCAGAATTGTAGCAAGTCCCACAGGGCCCTGATCTCAATTGGGAGATCGTTATGCAATCGTTATGCTTTGCTCCAGATTTCTGCAGTCCTAGTACTATTACATTGCTTATTAGATGCCTCATTATACTGATCGGATCATCTTACACTGTGTGTAATCTATCTTCAGCCTCAGTGAGAAAGGTAAAAATAGTAAATGAAATAAATATAAAAAATAATCGAGTATCCAGGTCTTAACAGACAAACCCCACAAACAAGACTACTTACTTTGCTGTCATCCATAAGTGCAACCCCCGAATTCTTACATGAGCAGAAGAGAGCTCACCCTCTGGACTGGGGGCAGCAAACGGCCGCCTGCATTACATGCTGCTGCAGCTGCTACTGCTTCCTTGTTTTGAACCCTTTTCACTCCTGTACACACCAAACTCCCGCAGCACCACGCTGCTCATTGGGAAATGTAGTACCGAACCATCGTCTCTGCGTCAAGAAACAGGAAGCGTCTGAGAGCTAAGACTACAATTCCCATGAGGCCACAGAGTTCTTTAACGTGATTATGCTAAAAAACCGACCGCGAAGAATAACGTAATCTGCATCATTATCATATCAAAGCGAGTTGCGAGAGCGACACTTCATGGGTCTTTAGGCGGAGCCTCCTGAGTTCCGGCCGGAACAGCGGATTCCCAAATAAGGACTACATTTCCCAGCAGCCTCCAGCAATTGCCCTGTGGGGTGACACCTGACTGTTGGCTGAAGCGGGACGGTTTTATTTTATATAAAATCTTTATGCGCATATGAGCAAAACCAAAATATGGGTGCTTTTTGAAGACGTTGAAGAAAGCTGCGGTGCCGCGTGTTCTGTGGATGTAACTTTAGGCCGATGAATTATGTTTTATGATGGTTTTGAGGCTTACCAACCTCTAGGTGGCACCTGGAGACCTCCTGCTATTACAATTGGCAACCCTAAAATCAAACCATAATCCATCGTTCCTGCTGGTTTTCTGAGCACTGCGAGAACAGGGAGGAAGGTGTACTAAAATAGCAACAGGCTTCAGGGGCCCTGTTCAACTATCCATGGGCTCTGGACTCATGCTCCCAGCTTTACTTGGTGATGAGGTCAGTCATGCCTTATGATGGCCGCAGGCTACATCTAAAAGATTTGTGTCCAGAGGGCTGGACAGAAAACTCGCCAAAGGGATCCGTGTTTGGGTGACATTTCTGTAATTCAGTAGCCAGTTTCCACCAGTGACCGTTTCCTTTTCTGGCTCCCCCC